AAAACTTCTTAGACAGCTGCCTCCTTACTTAAACAAAATATTAATAAATACTCAGGTAATTAAATTAACCAAAAAACATATTTAGGGGATTATAATTTATAGAAAGACATTGCAAATTTAATAAAGTTATATTTTACAATGACAGATACTGATCGCTTCAAATCTTTGTACTAGAAATAGGCAGGAAAAAGTATCAGGAAGGAAATCTTCCTTTGAAAAAATAAACGTAAATAGAGTCCTGAAAGATAGTTGGGAAAAGCTCACTGAGGGTTCAAAGTAGGTAATCTAGAAACTATTGTTTAAAAAAAAAAATCTACAAAACACAAGACTGACACCCAGTGATAGTTTAAATAGACTAGAGGTTTCTGATCACAGGAAACATGACTCTCACAAGCTAAATGTCTTCATATAACTGCCATTTTAAGATCTGCCTTGGTAGAAGCACGAAAACATAAAACTACAAAATTTACTCTATCCATTTAGCATTTGTTTGACTCATTTCATAATGTAGACATAACCATTTCTCAGTTTCCCTGCTAGATACAGAATTATATCACACTGGAAAACATCCTTTTTATAAAGAGTCATGTCCGCTGGGCCCACACTCCAGCTTCAGACACCTGAAATCCTGCTCTGCACTCTCAGCCACCTGAGGGCAGGACCAGAAGGGACAGGCAGAAGTTTTCAGTTCTCACATCTTAATTAGACCCAGGAAAGATCACTGTCTGACGTGATTCCTCACACATTTGTTCATGGACTGCTCTCCTTTCAATACCCTCAAGCTTAGAGTGGAAATAGAACAAGAAACATACTTGAATTTGGTAATATTTTTACAAATAGTGAGACCCTGGATCATTTGGGAAGTCTGATTCTTGCAAATCTGTTCAAACCTTGATTCAGCCTAATAGGCTCTTCTTTCTGCAAGTTTTGAAAGGTGCAGGCCTCCCTCGCTGTCTTGTAGACTAGCGTGTGAACAAAGGCACGAGGGGAAGATTGGTGGAGGGGGATAGTACTGGGTAGGACTAAATCTAAGGTAGGAATTGACATTTTTACAGAAAATGTCTATTTTTTTTTTTTTTTGGCATGTCCTCCACAGATTTTCTTTTTTAATCATGTCTTTGACCAGTACATTCTGTTTAAATGAACCTGTTCACACTCTAAATGACACTTTGACTCCAACAGGAAAGACATATAGGTATTCACCACTGTCTTTTCTTATTAAAAATGTAGGCATGTTTAGCAGAAGGTGGTTCTGGGGGAAGCAGACAAGATTAGTTGTTGATAAGAGAGCAGAGTAGACAGAGACCAGGCACTGAACATCATCATAAAGGAGAAGGATATACAGGGAGTTAGAAGAGGTTAAAAAAAAAAATGAGAGGTGTTACTTGCCACTATGCCCACTGCCACCTGCCTGAGGGTAGAGGAGCCATATAGCCAAAGCCTGCCAGCATGGCCCGAGACGTGGACATTACATAAGGAAAAATACTAACCATGTTGAACACTAAATCTGGAGTGAAGGGTGATGTGTGTGTCATTTTCACTCATTAAGCATTTTTCCTTGTTTTGAATGTCTTAGCCATTACTAATATTTTACAGTGCCTAGCAGAGTGTCTTACATGTGATAATTCAATAAATATTTGTCTTGTTACAGGTACTTGTGCTTTGTTATAATTAAAAACATGCTTTTATGCACTCCTTTTTAAATTAGCTTTAAACTACACCAGAGTCCTCAAAAAGGCTTTGAAATAAGGATTGTGGTCAATTTCCTAGATTAGATATTGATGAATGAGCAAACCACCCTCTTTCAAGAGAGATCAGTTATGCCACTTCTATGTCATTTAAATGGAAACAGTCCAACAAAATAGCATAATACTGTGTCAATATTTTTCATTTCTTTTTTTAAAACCAAGCAAACCTTCATACTTACAGAACAGTAATTCTTAATCTTCGTGGGCTCACAGACCATTTTGGTAAGGCAAAAGTGTCAATAGACAAGTTACTACTATATTGCCCTCCTGAATTCTTAGAATGAACAGGAGGAATAAGGTTTTGATGAAATTCCAGTAAAGTACTTAACTCATTAGTGACTCATGCCAGGAACAAAAATAAGGCCATTTTCATGTTTATAACATGAATATAGTAACCTTCATTTGTCCAAAATAGCCAGCTAGCTACATTCTCCTCTTTGTACCTTTCTAACAAGAGGCCATCCAGTATTTATTTCTCCTAATGAGGAACTTCCAGTATGCTCCCTAGTGTTAGATCACATTGAACCTAGTTTCCTTCATATCTGTAAAAGGTAATCAATTTATGAATAAAATCATCTTGTATTTTCATGACATTTTATAATGTTGATCTATTCATTTAATTTTAACAATATAGGTAGGATGATACTGATCTGCTTTCTGAATTAATGACTTTTAAATGATCGTAAGTACAACATTAGTAGCAACAATATTTTATTCTAGTCAACAATTTCAAGGGTATTGGGTATGGCATGCATTTCATAAGACTGTCAGCGAAACTCTTCAAGTAACTGCAACGGACTATTTCTCAACCATTTTGGACAAATGGAGTTCATTTTATTCAAAGAGATCAGCTTGAGGATTATCTGGAAGACCCCTGAGTACATATATTGACAATCACAGTTTTAGGGTGACAATATTATTTTTGTCTTCCTCTTTAATAAGACAGATGAAATGGAATTGTTTTTATGCTTTTCCTTGTTCAAATCCTTGGTTTAAGGTAAAATTCTCATTTTCCTGACATCATGTTTGCTTAGAAATGATTTACATGTTGCTTAATACAGTGAATGTTGAATAAGGAATTAGTGCTTACCGCATTTAATGCTTATCGAAATATGTAGAAATCTGTTTATTTGAGGGACAACGACATTCCAATCTATCTTTTGTAATCTTTGCAAATACTCTAGCAAACAGTAGGGGGAGTTCAAACTCTAGTATGAAGGTAAGATACCTTCTAGTCCAAACCACTTGTATAGCAACACAGCTATGTCTAAGATAGAATAGCTTGTGATGCTATTTTTTAAAGACCTGAAAACGTAACGTCCTTCCGTCTCCCAAATGTTGTCGCAATAAATGTTGCCTGAAAAATGGTATCGCTTTTTAATGGCACCTTTTGAGTTTTCCTTTCATACAAAAGAAACCAGCCGAGTTAGATATCATTTTACTGTGCCATTCCCAGGGCTACATCTGTGAAAAATATAGCTACTTCCAATACAGTGATAAGTTGAATGACTGCTTTTCATTTCTGAAATTAAACACTGATCGCAGTCTGAGGGTAAATGAATGAAAGCTCAAGATGACACAGTGGAGAGTGAGTTAGCACTGAAAAAGCTTCTAGACCAGGGACCAGCAAACCACAACAAATGTGGCCTGCTGACTTCTTTTAAAGGAAGTTTTATTGGAAAACATCCATGCTCATTCTTTTATGTACTGTACTGTGTATTGTCTACGGCTGCGTTCTCACAACGGCAGAATGGAGAAGTTGCAACATAGACCTGGCTGAAAATCTTTACCACCTGACCTTTTACAGAAAAGGTGTGCCACCCTTGGTCTAGATATTTAATGAAGCCCTGGACAAAATATTTATTCTTCTCTTTTAAAAATTCTAGTTTTTGATATCATACATTAAAAAGACTCGCTTCAAATTTTACTGGTGAGAAAGACAAAACAATGGATCTTGAAATACATTCCATCTGAAACTAGGAAAACAAATCAGGGAGAAAGAAAAAATCAACACACAATTTTGATTTCTTTTAGTTACAAAAAATCACAAACACATTTTTTCCATCTGCTCAAAATTAAAAAGACAACCAGCTCCTTTTTTTCTTTTCTTTTCTTTTTTTAACAAAGATAACAAGTATAAAAATCTAGTCATAAACAGCCTTCAAAGTACAATTAAAAACCAACTGGAGGGATCCATCTTTTGGAGGGTTAGTGAGTTCGGGATTTAAACACTTAAATTACCGCCATGTTGTTGATTTCACAATGGCTGCAGTGATGAGGAAGTGTGCAGCGGATGTAATAGATAATTCCATTCTGTCGCCATCCCAACTGAACTTTACTCTCTTTAGGACACAAGAACTTGTAAATGTCTCCTTGACACTCTGAGCACAGATGTCTTCATCCCATATGAAAAGAGGCAGTTTCTATGGCAATACTGGTTAAGTGCCTATCATGCTGCACTAATATAGTGCAAAAATGTGCCTTCCATATAGCAAAAAAGATGCAGGCAATCAGTTTGAAAATTAGAGAAAGTAGAAACATACTGTATTAACACAAGCAAATTAGTTTTCCAGACGATAACCACTATAAAATACTGAACTTGAGGACTCTTCTAAGGTACTAGTACCTGTCCAGCATTTGTAGTTTGGAGAGAGACAAGAATTAAGTCTTATAAAAGGGTCTTTGCCTCTGAAATGCAGGTCAATGAAACTATCATCAATCACCAGGATGCTGAATTTATTCAGTGGGTTTTCTGCTCAGTTTAGAGTTTATCTTTATTCACCATTAAAACTGCTTATCAACAAGTACATAATCTGACATAGTGTGTATCATCAATTGAGTATACATGTTGTTATGTTTGACTATAGTAGTGTAGAGATCTTGGTATAAACTCTTCATGCGAAAATGTTACTATGGTTAACTGCAGACAGAGGCTTGCGTCAGACATCCTAACTGGCCAATCCCACCACCGTATTTTAGAGATGAAAGTGAATTATCAGTTGGTAGATTTCAGAAAGATCACATAAAACTCTCAGAATGCAGCATGTATTCAACGAAATCTCCTAGAATTCTCAAGGCTGATGGTTTCTATGTAAGTGGTACTGTCTTGATATCTCCAGTGGCACTGTGATGATGATCTTTTAAGAAGTTACAATGTATTTTAATCCATACAGTTTGAATAGCTTTGTGGCCTCTGGATATCTACAGCAAAGGTAGAAAGCTGAGACTGGTTGTTGCAGGATAAGTTATGGTCTACATGTCTGCATCTCCATCATAGGCTAAGGTTAAAGGTTTCAGTCGGTTGTTTTGCCTTCTTTGGGGTTTCTTTGGCTTTTTGCTGTAAAGAAAAAAAAATCATTAAAATTGGGAGAAAGAAAATATTCAATTGCAATTTTTATTGTTTTAAATGAAAAAACTGGAAACATTGATAAACTTAAATTGCTTAATTGCCTACACTGCCTAAATTCAACCTGAAAATTTGATTTTCTGGTTTTTTAATTTCTCTGTTTTATGCTCTGAATCAACTTGAAACAGAACCCTTCAAATATTTATTATCCTGTAAAAGATGAATTGTTTAAATGGAATTCCTCTAGTACTAACAATGGAAATAATGTTATAGTATAATCATTTATATTTGTCCATAAACTTTTATAAATAAAACAATTTATAATTAATACATGTTTTAAGAGATAGTTGAATTGGGTATTACCATAATATCTTCTTCAGTAGTAATTCAATATAAAAATCTACAGTTCATCATAAGTATACAAAGTAATGTTTGCTTATAGAACCAAGGAGAACACACTTGAGAAGATGACCTGGGGCAGCTCTGGCTCATCTTCAGAAATTAAGTGGCTCAGAGTTGGTAGTTTTTAGACTATCTAAGACTAAAGCCATGCTTATTCAGAAATTCAGATGAACACTAATGTGGAATACTTATTTGAGACATTAGATTGCTCTTCCTGGTTATGGCCAGTTGAAAGTGTTTCCTCTGAAATAGAGATCCCCTTAGATTTTGAAATATTTAAACACTCACCAAGCTAGATAGATCATGGAGACAATGAAGATGAGTAACACAAATGCCCCAGCTGCTACACCGTAAACCCAGGTCTTTAGTCTACCATCTAAGAAGAATGGATATTAGTCATTAATTTACATTAGTCTGGTGTATATATATGACAGTCTTTAACCACAACCAATGACCAGTCACATATGACCAAGTCCTTTCACAACTCAAAATGAATTATTGCTTAGGCATAATTAGTGATTAATGCAAAGCTGCTATAGTGAGTTAGATGGTCCTTCATTAAAGATAAATTATCAATGAAAATTGAATTGAAAAGCAATGAAGTTTGAATTCAAGTTCAGATTTCAAGTTAACAGGTCTACATTGCTGCTGCTGCTTATCTGAATTTTCTTTTAAACCCAATATATGTGTAATGCTAATATAAACATTTTCTTCTGATTTTCATTCTATCTTTAGAATGGCAATTGTGAGAAGAGAAGAAAAAATAATGCAATTTCAAGAAAGTCCTACAACTTTGAGTTAATGCTGACAGGTATCTCAATGTAAACTCTGTCATTTGAGTATTTCTTCCAGATGAATTGATAGTAAATATATTTAACATTTTTGGAATTAATAATCCTTTATCTAGTTTATACTTAGAGCGTGCTTTAAAACTGATTTGACAATATCATTTGTAAAAACAGCCAACTTTGATTAACATATAAAAGAATCTCTAAATAACTTTTTTCTACCTTTTCTATTGCATGGAATCAGGACAGGAATTTTTCTTTTTTTCCAGTTTTATGATAGGAACTTTTAAAATTTGGTTTTCTGGTCTCATTCACTTTGAACTTCTCAGTTTTATATTCTGAATAAACTTCAAACGAGTGACACTATTAATGACTTTGCCTAACCTAACTTGATCCTCACGCCAACATATATTTTCTGTTGCACACATACAGCTAAACACATGATTTTAGAATTAAAATTATAGATTGGGCAAACTGACTCCACAGAGACTCTGGTTTATCCAATATCTGGAAGACATCAAAAGCAAATTAGTACTATGAATTTTTTTTTTTTTTGCCTAGAGCTGGATCAATTAGGGGTTCACTTGCTGGAAATAAACTAAGTTAATATTCTAAATACGCTTTTTTTTTTTTTCTCATTTCTAAAGATTTAAAAAATTTGAGTCTGGGTTCAAAATCGAAAGAGCTCTATTGGGTTTATTTGCCCTGAGAGAAATTCAACAGATATTTTTGGGTTTTTCATAAACCAAGAGCAAGGTCTAATTGTATGTTCTTAAAACATGTACCTTTTTAATATATTAAAATGTTCACTTTAGGAAAACTATATATTAAATGAAAAATGACAATAATAATATTCTCTCTTTAAAAATCAGTTTTGATGTGCGGAGATCTGCTTGGATTTTTGGTCAGGGTCAAGACTGCAAATGGCCATTTGCTGGTCCACTGTCCTGGACAGTGAGAGGAAGAGTTTCCCATGCTTACAGAAACAGGTCAGCCTTTACAAAATAAATTTTATTTTCAGCTCGAAACCTAATCAAGGCAGGGATGATGTGGTTAAATATGAATCACCCAAATATTGAACATACTTAAAAAAAAAATTCCCAATAGTGATTCACCAGTAAGGTGAAAGTGTTTTGACTAAATGCATTAAAAATAGAGATGTGCTGGCTATGCAGATCGCTTCCTTCCTTTCTCATGTTTCTAACGGAGTCAGGAAGTAGTTTCTGCCTGGCTTTGCCTGGAGATTTCCTTCGGTCATTCATGAACTTGTCATCCCTCTAGGGTGTGAGAAAAAGTGTCATGATCTTAGTTACCATATAGCTCTTGCAGCACATTTTTAAGCACCAGCTTAGTTCTAGGGCTAAGCATATGGTTGAATCAACTGCAGAGAGAAAATGTACAGAGTAAGGATAGCATCTGATGAGGCTTCAAGCTTTTGTCTGTATGGGCTTCAAGTCCATTACTAGATACATTACGAGCCGTCTGTTGAATATGACAGGTGTCTGGTCAGTCTCCAAGCTTAGATTGTCCCATCTAGACAGGAAGGCTCCATCCCTGCCCCCGTTTATCTGGTGCTAGTATAGATTATGAGCATTTGAGTGTGCCAACTCTAAGGGCTGGTAGAAGTTGGTCTGGCTGCCAAGTATCTCCTGCATTGCTGATCTTCCTATTTAAGGTTCAAATATTTAACACTCTGTGGTGAAACGGAAAATTCTTTAATGTCTTTATAGTTTTATTCGTGTTCTGAATGACAACACTTTTTTCCTAATATTTTCATTGTTAGATTTCTTTGTTCAATGCGAAAATAATTACACTCCTAAATTTAGGGCTGAAATTAAAATAAATAATATCAATCCTAAAATTTTTCTCAGAAGAAAGTACACATTTTTCTGAATTTTCAGCATGAGTGCTTTTTTCATAATAGTAGAAAATTATAATAATATATGGCAGTATCAACATAAATGACTATACATAAAATAATTAACTCATATGAAAATGCTTGCTCATTTTTTTAATCCTTTGGCATTGGTTAAATATATAGCTAAAGAATTCTACGTCAACACTGTCTAGTCACTTCACCTGGCCCAAATGGCTGTAGAAACCAGGTCCTTCCCCGTCCTGCTGGGTTACTGGAGGGTTGGGTTGGATGTACTGCCCGACTGGTTTTCACATCTCCTCTTTTGTCCTCCACAGTGGGTATCACCACCACGGGGATAAGTGTGCATTGCTCAAGTGTACCATTGGAAGACATGACTTCAGTGTACCCTTCTTCACAACTGCACATCCTCGTCTGCAGGAGAACAAGACTTATACTGCACATGCAAGGTGATCTTTATAAGCATAACAGACCTGACTTGAAGAGCAGGCTCTAAAGAAATATTGTTCTGGGAATTCATGTAATTTCTGTCATAACTACGTAAAAAAGAACACACTTTTTGTCCCTTTACAGACTTATTCTAACAGTAGAGGCAAGTGCATTCAGAATTGTTTATAGTGATAAAAGGAGAGGTCCCAAAATAGAATTTTCATGCCTCAAGACATGCTTTTTTTGGGGTTGGGGAATGGATTGTACCAGAGGCAGTGGGGTGACAAATGATGAAGCTGGCTTGCCTACTCTAATGAATTCACACATACCTCGCTACAGTACGAGTGAGGTTGACTACACGGTGGATTACAAGACCTGTCAGCATCAGGCTGGTGCACCACCAAGCAGCCCCCTGCAGAACAGAAAATCATATTTTGACAAGTAGCATCTCTTGCAATGATTAAAAATACATCATTGTTGTAGACTTGTCTTTGAATCCTGAACCACCTTGGGAATCCCACAGACTTTTCTGAGGGCAGCTGACTGAAATATTTGGTTGACCTTGACCACTTTATTTAGGATCTCGAGGCTCTTCTTATTCAGAGGAGACAGCATAGTACCTGCCACTCAGCAGGTGCTCAATAAGCACCTGTTGAATGGATGATTTTATAGTTGCTACTTTGAAAACACTAATTGCCTGCAAGCTATTTATCATAGTTTCTGAGACCAAGTCCAGCACTAAAAAGCAGATTTAATATTCTTTTAAAATTCATACTTGGTTATTCAAATAAATAGTTTCCATGTTAAGATGTCCCTTTAATTCATGTGACTATCTTGTATATGTATTTTTTTTTCTTTTTTTTTTTGTGGTACACGGGCCTCTCACTGTTGTGGCCTCTCCCGCTGCGGAGCACAGGGTCCGGACGCGCAAGCCCAGTGGCCATGGCTCACGGGCACAGCCGCTCCGCGGCATGTGGGATCCTCCCGGACTGGGGCACGAACCTGCGTCCCCCGCACCGGCAGGCGGGCTCTCAACCACTGAGCCACCAGGGAAGCTCCGTATATGTATTTTTTATAATACATATTTCTTTTTGAGAAAATCACTAATTCAGGATATTTTTGGGGTATAAGAAAACAAAGGCAGCTACTAAGTGTATGTCTGCACTATTGTTTTAACTTGACATTGCAGCTCTCTGTTTAGTCCTCTTCTTTCTTCCTTCAAGTACAGTACCAGGTGTGCTGAAGTTGTTATAATGAAGTTTCAAGACAAGAATAGATGTCATAAAGAAACAGTATTGGTGGCATGGAAAGAACTGATAGTTGTTCAATTTAGAATTTTAGCAAAGCAAAATTTTTCCTTTATTTGTGGAATTGATGATCCTCTGGAATCTAATCAAAGGTACCTATTAATTCCTTGCCTTATCTCTCTATATTATAAACAAAATATTCACAGAAAAAATTGTTATGGAAAAGCAGTTAGTCATTGCAAGGCAGTTGCAGTTACATGGCCATATTGAAATTATCATCATTAAACATATGAAGACAAAGTAAAGCAGCATCTTGAGTTTCTTATAAGGACAACTATTCATAAAATTAAAGCAATCAATCAAGCCAGATAATATACTTTACATGCTTGTCTATTTCTCATAAAGAATCTCATCTCTCCTAAAAGATGGAAGAAGAATGCATACAGAGTTTATCACAAATCAATCATTTACACATTTTTGGGGGGGGGGTATAAAACAGCATTAGAAGGGAATAAATACATGGGATACTTATATAGAAAAGAAGTTGAAAATATGATTTCTACAGGTAAGTCTTTTAAAATTTGACTTACCTTTGCATTGGGGAATAGCCCCAATCTCAGTGTGAAAAGAGCTTTTAACACGTAGAAGAAAAGGCAGACAACTATTATTTGCATCCATATTTGGAAAGAAAAAAAACACTGAAAACTGATAGGATCCTCTGGGGAAGCTGTAAAATACCCTCTGAATAGTTTAAAGAAGAATGTAGACATTCATTTTCAACAGCTGAGTTGAGTGGACCACCTCTATAATGCCTTTGGGTTCAGAAAGCCTATGCTTCTCTTCCCAGAAGTCTGTCTCCCCCTGTTGCCTCTGAGAGTGGTGTGCTTGGAACAGATTTTTCTTCCAGAAAATAATCGTGTGAGAGAGCAAAGCATTTCTTGGTAGGTGTCTGTCTTTTGTTATAGATGTATCCACTGGGAGTTGCTATTATCAAGTGTTTCTTAACACAGATTTCTCATGTATAAAATCTTCACAAGAATACAGTCTGACATCCTGCTCTAGCTTTCATAAGGAAGAAATGAGTAATTAGGTTTCAATAAATCCAGGTAATTTAAAATTCGATATAAAAATTTATGCTTTCTAAAAAGCATATCAACCCCTGTTCCTATCATCTTACTGTAGATATTACAGTTAAATTTATAAATGGACATTTACTCAGAGGCAACAAAATGCACATTACTTTTTCTCCCTGCCAGAGGGTCAAAAGAATGGCAGCAAGTCAGCAGGTCCCCCGAACAGTTAACTGTCAATACTCAGGCTGCTGCTATGCTATGGAGATTCCTGTAGATTAGATCTCTACAAATACATTGTTTAAGAAGAGACATTAGATCTTTGGGTCCATGGGCCTGAGGCTGAGGTTCTGTTCTGACCCTGGTTTCTTTGTAGAAAATTTGCAGGGTGGTTCACTCCATCTCTGGGGCCAATTTTCTTCCCTCTTCAAAGGGTCTTTGGGATCCCTTGCATTTACTGGACTCAGATAAGGAAACTTCAGTAACTGTAGATTAGAGTAGTTCTTGGGGGTATATTTGGGTCAAAGGAAATTCAAAAAAAGTTTTCATTTGGATTTCTTCTTTCAATGTACAATGATTTTTGACTTGGGACAGAGTAGGTAGATTGGCTACTCATATGCTCTGGGCTTGAGTTTTACCAATAGGTCTTCTATATTAATTAATAAAAAACTATAAATCATAGATTTCTGAATTTAAGCAAAATATTTGGATTTGTGTAATCATATTCTCTTGGCAATATTTTTGGACTGCATGTATACTGCCTTTAAGGCACAGAAACAAAGTCAACAAAATATTGACTTTCTTAGCATGTAAGAAGTAAGTTATTAATATATAAGATTTCTAGGAAAAACAATCTGAGAAGTATTTACTTATAATCATTTATTAGAATTAGACAGTATTTTAAGTAAATTATAGCAGCAATGTCTAAAATGGCTGGGTGAGGGAGAATTTAATTGAAACATTAAACAGTAAAATAATTTGTCATTGGTCATCAGGTGCACAGCTCAGGTGTCGTGAACCCAACCACGTGTGGAATACTCAAAGAATATCTTTGTTTTCTTAATTATTTTCTTTAACCAGTTACATGCGTGTTACAGTAAGACTTTCAAAGAACAAAGAAATGGGAGGTTTACCTGTTACATTTATACCATCTGATCTTTGACACCAGACTGTTCGGGAAGAGCCCTTCCAAGCACTCGCCATCCATTTATACTCATAACACTGTCCATCTGCAGGAACACAATAAACATTAACAGAGGCAATCTATAGGCCAGCGGAACAATCATGGAGATAGGGTATTAATAAAATATTTATAAACAATTGGAAAGGGATGAGAAGTCCATCCTGAATGATTCAAATGTCAAGTTATTATCCAGAAGTTGCCATATAAATGTTACAAAATTCCAGATACATACCTAAATTCCAACTAATTTTCTATGTCTCCTGTCATACTATCTAATGTGAACCTGGATTTTCAATTTAATTTTATGTTTATTTGAAGTATTATAAAATATCCAACATACAGACAAGGACAGAGGATAACTTAAAAAATATTCAATTACCCATCATTCAATTTTAACTAATATTACCATTTAGTCATATTTGCTTTATTTTTGGTTGTTGATGAGTAAAAAATGTAACAAATAAACTTGAAGTTCTATTATATTGCTTCCTGATCTGATCTCCCTCTTTGTTTCTCCAGCAATACCCAGTCTTCTGAAGTAGATACATGCATTTCTGTGACATGTTTTTAATTCTTTTAATATAAATAGAATGTAAGTATAAATATATACAACCTATAAATTATTTATAGAATTATTTTTAGGTTTTTTTTTTTTTTTTGTCTGTGTTGGGTCTTCGTTGCTGCACGTGGGCTTTCTCTAGTTGTGGTAAACAGGGGCTACTCTTCGTTGCAGTGCACGGGCTTCTCTTGTTGCAGAGCACAGGCCCTAGGCGCGTGGGCTTCAGTAGTTGCAGAGCGTGGGCTCAGTAGTTGTGGCTCATGGGCTTAGCTGCTCCGCAGCATGTGGGATCTTCCCGAACCCCAGGGGTCGAACCCATATCCCCTGCATTGACAGGCGGATTCTTAACCACCGTGCCACCAGGGAAGTCCTTTAGGCCGTCTTAAAATTTAAAAAGTATCATACTGATACATATGATACATACATCTTTTTGAAACTTAATAGTCAATGTTATATGTAACATAAAATGTTATACATGAAATATTTCTATGTGATTTTTTTAATGCAGACATAGTCAATTTATTTTAACTGCTACATAGAATTCCATGGTACTATCTACTACAATTTATTTAGCTATTTCCTCTATGGGTGGACTTTTAGGTTGTTTTCAACTTATGCTATTATAACAGTGCCTCAGTGGTCAGTCTTGTGCAAGCCTCCTGGTGCTTCTTCAAGGTAAATATTTAGAAGGGAAATTTCTGGGTATCATTGTAGGGATAGCTGAAACTTTACTAAATACAGCTTATTCTTTTCTTTAAAAGGTGACAGTTTATATACCCACCAGCACAGAATAAGAGTTACTATTACTCTAAACCCTCACAAACATTTATAAATTCCAGATTTAAATTTCTTGTCAGTCTTGTGGGTGTGGAAAGCTATCTTGTCATTTTTAACTTGTAGTTGATTACCAAACCTATTAAACAGTGAGGAAAATGTTTTGGGGCATTTAGATTTCCTCTTGTGAATTGCTTATGTATATCTTTTGGCTCCCCCCCACCCCTTTTTTTCTACTGAAATCTATGCCTTTTCATATTGGGTTGTGGGAATTTTTTATTCTAGAATAACAATTCTCAAATTATGGTCCAGGGACCAGGGAAGACTTTGACATTCTTTCAGAGTACGTGTGTGATGATTTTCCCCTTGACCTACACACCTGGGTAAGTAAGGCTGGATTTTCTTCATATACATAAACTAAACTAAGATAGCAATAGACTGAATGCAGAAGCACAGAAGAGAAGCCAGCTGTCTTCTGTTAAGCCACATGTTAAGCCAGAGATTTGAAAAAGTGTAAAACGAGACAATGACTGTCATTAAAGTTATTTTCTTTTTGTTTTGGAAAATAGTTATTTTTCAGGAAATATTTATGGTAACAAATTGATTTATGATTGTTTTAAATAAATTATCAAATATTTTAAAACATCAGTTGTCATTTTTTAATATGAAAAATTCTGATATATATAACTCACAGAGAAAAGCAGTTTGGGGTACTCAGCAATTTTACAAGTATGAAATTGTCTTGGAATGCTGAAAAGATTTAGGATAGTTGTTCTAGACACTAATTCCTTAAAATTGACTTCACAAATATCTTTTCTAAGTCTGAGGCTTGTCCGGTAACTTTGTTTATGATCTTTTTACAGTGTAGAAGATTCAAATTTTGATTTAAAAGAATTTTTGTTTTTCATTTTTGTTTGTGATTTTGGTGTTGTGTTGTATTGGGGAGATTTTCGTCATCTTTTTTTTCTACCCAACTTTGTTTTATTTCTTAAGATTTCACAATAAATGGGAGTTGTCTGTTTCTTTAAATTTTAATGAAACTCATAATTAAAGCCATTTAGGTTTTAGTGTGTGTGCATGTGTGAGAATATTTGATAGACTTGTGTTTTTAGTAGTTGCAGAATCTATGTTTTAGCTTCTCTATTACTCTTGATAAATAACATTCTAAATTGTTGTCACGTTTTTACATTTATTAGCAAAATTTTTTCATAGAATTATATTTTTAAACACTATCTTATTATTAGTAGTAATTTTGTCCTTTCTTTTTCTTCATTGATTTTGCATGAGGTGGTCTATTTTGTTAGTTTGGTCAAAAAAACAAGCTATTGGCTTTGTTGATTATCTCGTTTATTTGTTTTCTATCATTAAATTTGTACTTATCAGTACTGTATACACTCTATTTCCCTTATTTTTTTAAATTGGGTTGAAAGTCTAGCTCTTTTTATTTATTTGTTTATTTATTTTAATTTAATTTTTTCGCGGTACGCGGGTCTCTCACTGTTGCGGCCTCTCCCGCTGCGGAGCACAGGCTCCGGACGCAAAGGCTCAGCGGCCATGGCTCACGGGCCCAGCTGCTCCACGGCATGTGGGATCTTCCCAGACCGGGGCACGAACCTGTGTCTCCTGCATTGGCAGGCGGACTCTCAACCACTGCGCCACCAGGGAAGCCTGAAAATCTAGCTCTTATTAAACTTTTCTCCCTCCTATATAAGAATGTAAAGCTTCAAATTAACTTCTAAGTACTTCTGTGCTGCATCCTGCATAACATTTGATATGTAATGCTCTAGAAATGGAGCTTTCGGTTTTCACTTCTGTGTGGGCATGGGGAGAATTTCTTGGCAATTTTTACTGATTCCTAATTTTACTTCATTGTCATTTCAGGGTAAACAATTCTTTTTCTTTTCTTGGGAAATATTTCATTTATTGTAACCTCTGTCCTTTCTTTCTGTCCTTTACCTAACCAGGAATATGAAATGTTTTATCTGGTTGGTAAATTTGGGAAGACTTAACTAAGAAGGTAGATAATTCTATAATTCTTGGGTTAAGGCATCTAGCTCAACTGGCTTTCATTCTAAGCATTGTTCTCCAACATTCTAAGCTTTCTTCAAATTTTCAGCAATATAGATGTTATTTTGGCTCCTATTTGCTAATATATGTCCTACTCAGTTGCTTCAGAACACAAGCA